CCAGGTGAAGAGCGGGCCTGCCCGCACACCCCGACGTCCCAGAACGGGTGGGTGTGAGGGCACCGCTGCCTCCCTGGGCGGGATGTCTCCAAGCTCTTGTCTCCTCACGTCTCGACAGGCGCACCTTGAAGTGTATGAAATATTTTTTAAAGGGTTTCGCAGTAAGCTAGTCTTCCCCTCTGCTTTCTTGAAAGCTTACTGGCCCGCGGCCAGGGAGCGCGGCCCTCTCTAGACTTTCTCTTCCACGGGCGGCTGCTTTTCCGAGCACCTTGAAGCATCAGGGTGGGTAGTCACCCTAGAGGCAGGCAGGGACAGCGCTGCTCCCTGCACCTGCCAGGGCAGGGCTTCCTGAAACTGGGTTAATTCTTTATAGAAATGTGAACACTGAGTTTATTTTAAAAAAATAATAGTAAAAATTAAAAAAAAAAAAAGTCAAAAAAAAGAAAAAAGGAAAAAAAACCACAGAGAACAACTTACATGTATATAGGTCTTGAAGTGAGTGAAGTGGTTGCGATTTCTTTTGTTTTGGGGTTTTTTTGTTTTTGTAGAAGAGATTTGAGATGGTACTCTATTCTAATCAAAAATAAAGTTTTGTAGCGGGACCAGAAATTATTTCCCCGATCCCCTCACCCACCTGCCCAGTTCTGCTGGGTTGAAAGTTCCAGATCTGCTGTGAGGCCTTCTGTTGTCAGACCACCTGGTGTCCTTCCTGTGAAGCGCAGCCATAACCTGAATTGTGAGCCTAGAGCTCAGGATCCCGCCCAGCCATCTCCACCAGCCTCAAAGAAAGGCATCTGGTGCACATGGAGCGGGCAGGGCCCTTAGCCAGGGAGCAAGGACAAGGCTCAGTTCTCAGCTTGAATGTGATACCAGGAGGAGTAGCTGGCTTCCTCTTCCCTCCCCAGGGGTCTGATTCTCACTCACTGTCCACCTTCTGTCCATGGGGCTGGGGCTCCTGTCCACCCTGGTCCCAGGTAAATGTGAATGGAGACAGGTGTGAGAACCTGTCCTCATCCTTACCCCATCCTGGGCCTCATGACGGTGCTACCTAAGAAAGTCTTCCCCCCACCCCCACTAGCCTGGTCAGTGGTCAGCAAATTGGAGGAGGATCCGGCAGGAGTCTTTAAATGTGAGATAAAATGTCTTGGTTGTACCTGTTTGTGGTTTAGCTTTGTATTTAAGCAAACAAACAAAAAAAGGAAATAAACTTGAAAATTATTTGTCATCATAAAAATGAAACAAAAATTAAAATATTTATTGCCAGGCAAGGCCAACTGTGTGTCTTTCTCTTTTTATAAGGTAGAAGTAGAAATACGTAGGGTTTGAGAACCAGCTTTGGGGAATGACCTAGGAATCCAGACAGTCTTGCTGATACAATTTTGAGCAATCCAAACTCTTCAGTTTCCTCACTTGAGTAAGGGGTCAGGAGTCATAGGGCACTTGTGAAGATGAGAAATTTTAGGCCCTAGGACAAGGTCTGGCATGTAGTAAGCACCATAAATTTTAGATGGTATAATTGGTTAGACCCAATTCTCAGGTGGCTCAGTACCATCCACCCAGGTCTGTCGTGCTGGAGACCCTCCTACCAGGCTCTCAATCCCCACTATGCATCCCACTGCCCTCCTTCCGTTCATTCCCTCAATCCCAGTACTTGAGCACTTGGGTAGATTGTGACTGAGGATTTGACAGGTGTATCATCAGCTTAAGTGTTGTCAGCCCTACGACCTTGGACACAGATCACTTCCCCTCTTAAACCCGTCCATCAGGCTCACCTGCCTTATAGGGGTGCCCTGAGGACTAAGTCACAGGTGTTACTATTTATATTGGAGGGGACTGTGGCCTGGTGGTGGGGTAGGAACTGGAGCTCCTAAGTAAGTAAAGTTTCCTCCTGCATGGCATGGAGAGATGGACTGACATGGGCAAACGTGAGGATTTGGTGAGTTAATATGTAAAAAGCACTTGGACTAGTGCTTTGCACATGGATAATTCTCAGTATCACTGTTAGCTATTAACAGGATTCAAAATTGGTGTTTTGGGCTGGGGACATACCTCAGTTGGTAGAGTGCTTGCCTTGCATGCACAAAGCCCTGGGTTCAATCCCCAGCACCATACACACAAAAAAAGTATTTTACAAGTGCTCAGGACTGATGGCTAATTAGTGCCTCCAAGTTCTGATCTTTAGTCACTATATTGATTGTATTTTATTTTTTTGCAGTACTGGAGATTTAACCTAGGACCTTCTGCATGCTAGGCAAGTGCTCCTCCACTGAGCAACAGCCCCAGCCCCTTTTTAATTTTTATTTTATTATTTTATTTCTTGGTACTGGGATTGAACTCAGGGGCACTCAACCATTGAGCCACATCACCAAACCATTTTTGTATTTTATTTAAAGACAGGGTCTCACGGAGTTGCTTAGGGCTTCACTAAATTGCTGAGGCTGGCTTTGAACTCACGATTCTCTTGCCTCAAGCCTCCTGAGTCACTGGGATTACAGATGTGCGCCACAGTGCCTGGTCTAAAATTTTATTTTGAGGCAGGGTCTTGCTCAGGTAGGTCCAGGTGGGCCTCAACCTTGTGATGCTCCTGCCTTAGCCTCCTGAGTTGTTGGGATCACGAGTGAACACCATTGAGTTTGGCTGATCTTCATTTTTAAAAGATAATTATTGCTGCAACCATTTCTGGTGCCTTCTGAGTCAGGGCTCAAACACCAGCTTCTAAGCCTGCCCCTCCCTGGGACCATGCTGGTTGGAAGCCAGTGTTGTGGGAGCTTTAGAGCCCAGGGATGTGGCAGCTCTCATCTGTGGTTATTCAGAACCCGCCTCTGGGAGAAAAGCTCCCAGGACCCATCTTCCAAGATGCCCATGCCCCAGCCAATGACCAGGGGCTGTGCTCCAAGCATTTCTTGTGACTTCCATGAGTCTCTCCCAGGGAGCCAGAGTCCCCAGGGTCATCTCAACATGACATTGCTTTTGGAGGGGGCTCTTGCCATCTGTCCCCATGAGGGAGAAAGCAGGAGAGCATTTAGACAAGGGGACCCCATATCTCAAGATGCAGGTGTTACAGAAATGGCTGATCAACAGCAACACACCCACCTCATGGGCTTATGAGGACACAACATGGGTGAGATATCTAAGAGGGAACTGAGCAAGGCATGTGGGAAACTTTGGTCACCAAGAATCAGGGCACAGGATTAGGTCTGCCTTTGTACCCCAGGCAGCCACTTCCCTGTGTGACCTTGTGAAAGGTACGCATGAACATGAGCTGCCTCAAGTCCTTCCTGCCCCCTGCCCACCTCCCCACCACCTGTATTGGTGATTGATCCCAGGGGCACATGATTGCTGAGCCACAGCCCAGCCTTTTATTGCTTTTATTTTTTAAATATTTTATTAGTTGTTGATGAACCTTTATTTATGAGGTGCTGAGAGTTGAACCCAGTGCCTCACACATCTAGGCAAGCAATCTACCACTGAGCCACAACCCCACCCTCCAGGCTTTTATTTATTTATTTATTTATGGTGGTGCTGGGGATTGAACCCAGGGCCTCATGCATGCAAGGCAGTCACTCTACCAACTGAGCTATATCCCTGGCCCACCTTTTTTTTTGATTTTTGAAACAGGGTCTTGCTAAGATGCCCAGGCTGGGCCTCAGCCTCCTGAGTCACTGGGATTACAAGTGTGATTCACCACACACAGTTTCCTGAATTGTTATGAAGAACAAATCAGGTAATCCATGGTAAGTTAGTGTCACCTACCAAGAAGACAGACCCCTGGGACATGTTCAGCAGGCTCATTTATTTGTAAAGTATGGCCACCTGCACTCTCTGTGGTGCATTTCATAGATTCCTAAATGTCCATTTGTTTTTCACATTTTAACATCTTAAGAAATCAAGATGAGCCTTAAAATTAATAGTCTCTTAAAATTATAATTGCAGCCAGGTATGGTGGCACTCACCTGAAATCCCAGCAACGTGGGAAGTTGAAGCAGGAGGATGCCTGGGCAATTTAGTGAGACCCTTCTCAAAAAGGGATGGGGGCTGAGGATGTTGCTTATTGGTAGAGGGCTGCTGGGTTCAATCCCCAGTACCCCCCTCAAAAAAAAAATGTGTGTATATACACACACACACACACACACACACACACACATGCCATATACACCACCTTAATTCTACCTTAATTCACTGTAAAATAGCTATAGAAAATATAAACGTCTCCCAGCAGATCAGGAGACTGAGGCAGGAGGATCACAATTTTGAGGCTAGCTTCAGCAACTTAGCGAGGCCCTGAGCAATTTAGTAAGACCCCATCTCAAAATAAAAAATATACAGGCTGGGGACTGTGGCTCAGTGGCTAAGCACCCCTGGGTTCAATCCCCAATACTGAAGGGAAGAAAAGAGAAGAAGAAAAAGAAAGAAGTACAAAAGTCATTTAACTTTAATACAAAATCATGTAAAGGAAGTCACAGGAGCTAAATCGAATATTCGCCAAGTACCAGTGAAGAGGGCACTGGGAAGTCAGTACCACGTACTCCTCCTTTCTCCCCCACCTTGCCACCTTCAAAGGCCTGGGGCATTGGTGGGACCAGAAGTGTCCACACACTGGAGGCCTCTCCGGGCCCTAGAGGCAGGAGGTCGCTCTATCTCACACTCCTTCTGCTTTCTGGATTTCTTGGGGCCCCGTCGCCCGCCCTGGCCAGAAGTTCCAGGGTGTCCAGTTCTGTGGCCGTGAGAAGGTGAGCCTGCGACAACCTCCGCTCCTTCCTCGGAAGCAAAAGAGCAAAAACAGTTTGGAC